TTGCCAAAAACTGGAAAAATGAGAAAATACCATTACAGGAGGAAATCATTAAGAAAATATTGGAATGTGCTGAAATGAGTAGATTGACATTTGAAATCAGAGAACAAGATGATAAACAATTTTATAAAATTTGGGATCTATCAATGGTTAGACAATAAAACATGGTAATGAAATATGTAGATTTTTAGAAAATAATAAATATATAAAAATGTATTCTTATTATATCTACAAAATGATTGTAGGATAGATTTGAGATGATAATATGAACTGTCATAAAACAAATTAAGTAAAACATGGATTATTTCATAAAACATGAATGAATAAAAGTATCGTCAAATGATTGATTAACAATGATATTAATGTACTTAATATTTGATTGAAAATATGAGAATATATACAATGTAATTGTAATTGAAGACTACGAAATGGAAGCACAAAACAATCTGTAAACCAACCGACACACTGTATGTATATATATGGAAGATGGCTTGATGTTTTTATGTTTTGTCTGTCTATGTTTGTCTTAAAAACCAATAAAAATTTATTAAAAAAAACACCAACTAATGCAATCCGGGTTGTATAAACAGAGGCATAGAATGAAGATCATGTGAAGTATTTAGTGCTGCTTTACAAAACCCTAGTAGGAAAAAGTTCAGAAAAGAACTAAGATGATCAAAGTCCTGCAGACTAAACCATATGAAGAACAGCTGCAGGATTTGGGTCTGGCTAGTCTAAAGAAAAGAAGGACTAGGGGTGACATGATAGTAATATTCCAGTATTTGAGGGGCTGCCACAAAGAAGAGCGGGTCAAATCATTCTCCAAAGCTCTGGAGTGCAGGACAAGAAACAATGGTTGGAAACTCATCAAAGAGAGAAGCAACTTGAAACTAAGGAGAAACTTCCTAGCAGTGAGGACAATTAACCAGTGGAACAACTTGCCTCCAGAAGCCTCGTAGGCAGGGGTGGGATGCTACCGGTCGTGCCTGGCTCTATAGAACCAGTAGCTCTGAAGAGCAGCAGACACAGAACCGGTTCTGTGTCTGCTGCTATTTGGCCCACCCACCCGCCTGGGCTCTTACCTGTCCTTCATTTCCTGCTTTTTCAACCTCAGCTGCTTTGCGCAACACAGCTGAGGTTGGAAAAACAGGAAAAAAGAGGCTTTCCAAATGCTATGCACCTGTGCGCAGTGCTTGTCAGCTGTCCCGGTGGCACAGCTAAAGGTTTGCTTACACGCACGCGGGGATTGCGCAAAACGTAATCACCAAACCGGAAGTCACACCGGTTGAATCCCACCACTGCTCGTAGGTGCTCCATCGCGGGAGATTTTAAAGAAGAGTCTAGACAGCCACTTATCTAAAATGGTATAGGATCTCCTGCTTGACTAGAAGACCTCCAAGGTCCCTTCCAGCTCATTCTATTCTAAGAATCTAAGAAAACCCATAGAAGGAAAGAGCCTGGATATCTGAGGGAAAGTCCTTCTCAAACAGGTTCTGCCTGCCTGGTACTGGCCACACCGGATCACCTCCATTTAACACGGTCATCTTACGGGACCCAAGAAGCGGGGGGGGGGGGGCTTCCCTGCCTTGCCCCCCAAACGTTACCGGACCATCTGCAGGGGTGGGGGGGGGGAGATCTTCTGGGTCTGGAAAACCCTTAAGATCTGGGCGTGACGTTGTGTTGCTGTTTGTCTAGGACCTCTCTTTTGTTTGAGTGTGCCGTTTATAAGACTGCATTGGTCTGGGCTGTTCATTTGGTTTGATGTTTTATTTGTTTTCCTGAATTTATAAACAGTATTTTATGATGCCAAGAGCCCACTGGAGTTGGGCAGTTAATAATATCAAATAAATAAATAAACCTGTTTTATACATACTTCTGTGCGTATTTTTGGCTGTTAATATTTGCATTTGTGTGCATGTTTCCCTGATTTGTAAACCACACTGCAAAATACGGAAAAATATTCAGTGTTCATTATGTACCTGAGTTTTAGTTTCACAACATACTTAAGATGCCCCAAATGGTCACGTTCCTATAAAGCTTCCACTGTGACACTTTTAAAACATTCCTGCCCTACAGTGTTTAAATGTTGCTTTTCCCAAGAGCTAATCTGTACTGTATCTTTTGGCATGTGAATGAGGTCACAAAGATTTCTTATTACACCATCTCCATCCCAAGGATTATCTTTCCAAGAATCAACCTGCAGACCTTCTAGAAGGCAAGCCTGCACAACCCACCACTGGAAAGAGCGCAACGCCTACCTCATTTTAATGGCATTGGGGGGAAGGACACCCGCTTGTAGTAAAATACTTTTTAGACAGAGCGATTTACACAAATATGCGCACATAGCCAGATAATGACCTCCTGTGCATACAGAGCCCACTCAACAAGATTTGCCAAAGTTTCCCACAAATCTGAACCAGAAACTTTATGGGGCGTCCTGGCTGCCTTGTGTTCATGAGACCCTTCCCACCTGGATCATGCTGCCAAGAGGCAAGCAGGGAGGGGAAGGGCCTTGGTCCTGTGCAAAGGGATTGGAATGGGAGCTGGAACCTCACTTGCTCAACCTCTGCTGCCCATTAAGAGGCCCTTTGAGCACATCCCTCAGCTGAGGGGTCTAGGTGGAGAGTTGGCAATGCTGGGGCCAGAAGGTCTGAAGATCTCTCACTTGAGGGATGAGGAGCTTTTGGCTCTACAGATAGACCTCAACTCGTGACGTGGAATCAAAGTTCCAATAGTTGGGTTCCTTCCGTAATAACATGACCAAACCTCAGGCAATCATAGTTAGGGCTGTTTGCAGCGTCCACCAAAAACTGGCCCTTCTGGCTTTTGGCAAAACAGAACCGCCCATAGCCAAATAGTGGTTCACTTGATGGCTACGGCATTTACTCTTTATGAACTTTAAAACCCCTGCATTTACTAAAAGACCAGCCCATAAATTGTGAGTCGGTTTCATGGCCAATCCATTTTACAACTGTTATGACATACAACATACCAAGGGCAGGCTCCACTTCAGCTGTATGTCAAAAGACTACATGTAAGCAGGTGGACATCCGTGGCATTTTCTGAAACTGGCCCAGATACCCACGGCGTGCCAAAGTCGTTATTTCCTCAGATTCTCCTAGTCAACGCTGGCTTTAGCTTAGACTCGCCAGGCTGACAGCTTCCCCAGGCCATGGCGGCTTGCTTAAGGAGAGCTGCCTGCTCAGCACTCAGGCCTGCCTGCCTCCCCAGGATCACAATATTTAGTGGCTCGTGAGAGCCATTTTTCACATGGCTCCCATTTTTCACTTGTGTTTCTCAAGAGGCCGATAGACACCGTCCTGCTTGACTGAAAGAGATGCCTGCTAGCTTCTTACATTAAGCACCTGGGAGAGAGAGGGAAGAGAACTTCAACTTTGATTTCATTATAAATAAGTGGAAGGGACCTTGGAGGTCTTCTAGTCCATCCACCTGCTCAAGCAGGTGAACCTATACCATTTCAGACAAGTGGCTGTCCAGTCTCTTCTTAAAAGCCTCCGGTGATGGAGCCCCCACAACTTCTGAAGGCAAAGCTGCTCCACCGGTTAATTGTCCTCCCTGTGAGGAAGTTTCTCCTTAATTCCAGTTTGCTTCTCTCTTTGATTAGTTTCCATCCATTGTTTCTTGTCCTGCCTTCCAGTGCCTAATTTGACCCCCTCCTCTTTGTGGCAGCCCCTCAAATACTGTAACCCCCACTCCAATTTTGTGCCCCAGAGCACTGCTATTTGATTGTTTTGTTATTTTGGGCAAAAATGAGGGAGAGGGGAAATGTGTGTGTTAAGACTTGTAAAAAACACATGTATTCATACTCTTCAGAGTATAAGCTTGTACGATTGTTGGCTGCCCAGAGTCACTGGTTTGAGATGGGCAGCTGGATGAATAAATAAAGGCTTGCAAACTCCCACTTCCCAAAGCAGGGCAAACACCTGCAGTCCTGCCAATCTTGTCGTCTCACTGGAAATGCCTCCTTGATCCCAGGGATTACTTCTTTAGTTTGTGACCCTCCAGATGGGTGGGTTGGGAAAGTAACCAGAGGAGATTCGCCTCAGCCAAACCCCAGATCCAGCTGGCTGCCTGGAGCATTTCACAGGCCAATTCCCCATCTGGGGCCGCGAGAACGGGGAATTTGGGGAGCACCAGATCCGGCAGGCCTGGGGGTTCCAGCTTGGGGAACACAGACAGATCCTGAGTGTGCTAAGATTTCATCACGATTTCTGAAAGGTGCTGAGGGCCCTCTCGTTCCTGCCCTGGAACTAAGAAGGGTATTAATGACAATCCTGTCTCCAATCCGTCCTGACAGGGGAGCGTTTCTCCTGCTCTTTGCAGTCACGTGGCGGAGGAGGGGAAGGATGAGCCCTGTGCCTCCAGCACGACTCTGGTGTATTTTTAAACGCAGGCCAACGGGCACCATTAAGCTGTTGGTGCTCTTATGAGCCAGCAGCCCCCAGAGGCCGTGGGGAAGGAAGCTCACCTGTGTGTCATCCTCTCCATTCCCCAGGGAGCCTGTCAGGGCAGGACGAGGAGGAGGGGAAAGGGGTCGCTTGGAGTGGCCAGCTGCAGAGTCCTGGGGCTGCTCCCTCCCTGCCCAAGAGCTCTGGTCTGAATGCCTCCGGGCAAAGGGAAACCTCGGCAGAAGCTCCTCTCCATTCCTCTCCGTTGGTTCTTGTTCATGCAACTTCTAATAGCCTCCCTTTCCCTGTAATGACTGAAACTGGGTTCTCAAATGGTCTGAATCCCTTCTGGAGCTCCAGGTGGCCACTCTCTCTCAGCCTGCCCTCCCTCACAGCACTGTTGGGGAGGGGAAAGGGGGAAGAAGCGAGGCCCTAATGCCCAAGTTCAACTAAACAGGTAAGATTGGCAAACTCAGTTGACGTCTCCCCTCCCTCAGCTTAACCGAAACAAGCAAAGAAAATCCCGTCTTTTGCAGGACACTGAAGAGAGAAAAGGGGAAGGTGGGAGGAGGGGCCACAGGGAGAAGCGCTTACCTGACGCTGTTTGAGGAAGTCCAGCGCAATCTGAACGTTCTGCAGGCGGTGGAAGCGCATCCTCCCCTTTTCTCGAGGCTGGAAAAGAGACAACGGAGCTCAGCCCTTCTCAGACGAAGGCAAACGCCTCCTGCCACCTCGAGAGAAGCCTGGGCCTCCCTTGGGGGTATCCGTCCCTGCAGGGCTCAGCTGGGCCATGTCACACAACTTGAAGGCTTGGAGCAGCAGCCATGGAAAACAAGCAAGGTTCTGACCCCGTCAATCAAGATTCCTCCATCCCAGCAACTTTAAGGTGGGTGGACTTCAGCGCCCAGAATTCCCCAGCAGGCTGGGGATTCTAGGAGCGGAAGTCCATATTTCTTACAAGCTCAGTGACTGACAGTCCGGTCAATGTGAGGGCCCGTTTTGGGGGGCCTGGGCCTGAATCAGCCTCTCTGCCAGCAAATTCATCCATCCGAGGGAGGAAGAGGAAAGGGGATTGCTAAACAAGCCCACTTTTTCTGGTTTCCCTGTTCACAACCTGCCCAGACCAACCAAAGAGGACAACTCTGAGCTCCAATAACCTTCTCCAACCTGAAGCCCACCAGGTGGGCCAGTGGAAAATCATTTATTTTTATTCAGAATTTGTCAAACAAAAGCAAGGACAAGAACAAACGCGTAAAACTGGTAAATATTTTACCCCTCTAAATTATGGGGTGATCCAACCTACCTGACAGGCGTTGGGGGAAGGGAAACTAATGTTCAAATGCTGAGCATGTTCATCCAAAGCAGCTTCCATTACAGGACAGGTGGTGGGTTCACCAGCAGGGACCGGTAGGCCAAGTTCTTGCCTCGTTCGCAGCAGCTGCTGGGCCCTCTAAGCAGGGAGGGCAGCCCCACCGGACATAAAGGGCCGAGGGAGGCCTGAAGGGCCTCAGCCAGCATGAAGCCAAGGAAGAATTTCAAAAGTGGGGAGAGGCCGGTCCTTCCTCCTTACAGGAGATCCAAATGTCATTTACCAAGGAACAGGAAAGTTCCCCCACCCACTGAATGGATGGACCATCCAGATGAGCGGCTGAGGATCCCCATCGCACGGCTCACCTTCAGGCCTGGGCTCAAGGCACCAAGGGGTCCAGTTTGTATTGGGCCGGGGGGGGGGGGGGGCTGAAGAGGATAAATGCTCAGCCTGTTTCTCAGCCTGTTTCCTGGTTCATGGGTTGCCTGACGAAAATCTGGTGGAGTCAGTTGCCATCTTCAGGCAATGCTAGGGGCTCTCACACGAAACGCCATTCTGGATCATGAGAGGGTGGCTGGCTTCCTACACGGATTTTGGCTTGGAGTGCCCTATGGCCCCCACTACCAGGAAACCAGTATGGAGTCACTGCGACTGTAATCAAGCAATGATTTAAGGGGAGAGGTAAAGGCACAGCCTGGGTGCTTTAAGAGCACCTTTCCCAACTTCAGCCCTCCAAATACTTTCAACTGCAACTTGTTTCCATCCAGCATGGCCCAAATCCACAACATCTAGAGGACCAGAGAATTGGGGGTGGGGGGGCTTTTAGAAGATGTGAAGATTCAGGGAAGCAAAAAAGGCAAAACCGATGGTGAGAAATGAGGGAGGGTGCACAAAATATTCCTCTGGATGGACTGAACGGAGGAGGAGGAGGAGGAGGAGGAGGAGGAGGAGGAGGAGGAGGAGGAGGAG